GGGTTCCTCCACCTTCAACGGTGCCGGGGCGGCTGGAGGCGCTACTGATCCAAGGAGGGGCAGGCTGTCGGCGAAAAGTTTTTCAAATGCAGACCAGTAGAGGGAACTAGCCAGGAGTTTGTACAGTCCGAGCGTGAACTGCTGTTGGTCATCTGCGCTGGGTGGGAATAGAAGAGGGACCGCCGTCGTAGTCGTTGTCGTCGTGGGTGGGGCAGTCATTCCGGTGCATAGTTGGGCGAGCAGCAGTTGAGACATGCTGGCAACATCGAGACCTGAAGGAATTGAAGAGACAGAGGTTGATGAGGCGTGATACCAAGAGTGTTTGAGGCTTCATGCTCCCGATTTAGCGATCTTAACAGGTCTCTGAATATATTTAGGCTATAAAGTGGAAACTTAGTTCTCCCAGTCGACCAAGCTTACTCGTCTTTAGGTGGCAGACCGCAATAAAGTCTGCATTCCCCTAGTCATTGTAGAATGTCTATCTTTCCTGCTATCATAAGGCAAGTGCTGGACACAGCACTCCTATATATCGTCAATGATTATCGATTGTCGGCTACTAAGCGAACATCTGGCTTAAATCTTCGGCTTAAATCGTACTCTTTCCATCCCACAGCTGATAAAAAAATTTAAAAAGGGCGAATCCGATCTAACTTGTGGATATGCTCTTTGAAACATGTGCATATAAAATAAGTGGTTCTGAATTTTCGGATTCTAGGTAATATAAATGCAGACAACAGCTCGGAGATTCTGAACCGATCGGAATAGTATATGAGAAGTAATAATGTCAGCGCAGCAATCGAGTCTGTCAAAAAATAACTTATTACAAAGTGAGTCTCGCAGTCATCCTAGAGTGAGTTCTTGCAAAACATGCTTGATCATTGTAGTGAAGGGATGGATTTCAATCCTTGCAAAAGGTTTGACTACTGATTTATCCCTCATCAGAATTAGGTACTTCTACTGTATGACTGACGAGGGTACTGGGGACAAACCCAGTAAAAGATAAGTAGGAGTATTAATTAGCGAATTTAAAGGTACCGTAAAAAGAAAGTCAGAACCTGCTCGCGATATACTCGATTTATAGCCATGGCTAGGATGTTAGAACCTATAAAAATTCAATGGAAATCCTTTTTTAAGAGACCAAGTTTTTTAATGCCTTAACCGCTTGCTGAATATAGCTAAGACAAGGCAGCCGAGGCTATTGAACCATCCATAATTTTTTTTTAAATACAAGCGCTTTCAAAGCATTAAATTCGTAATAGTAAACTTACTTTATATGCTACGGCGCACTTAAATGTACAAAAATAGTGTCTGCACGTAGGAAGGACTGCTATAGAAGAACAAAAATGACAACAAGCGTAATCTACCCTCTCATAGAGTTCGGCTGAGACAACGTCCCTCAAAGTGGTCTTTTTAACAACAAAAAATCACGAGCATGTAAGATAGCGAAAAAAGAATTATTTACCGGGAATACCGCAGGGGAGGAGAGAAGGGTCAACCGAATTGACCGGTACTGGCGCAGTAGGCAAATCCATGGGTTTCACCACGTCGTTGGTAGGCATTTCATGCAAGAGTCGTTCAAAGGGGAGTTGTTGTAGCGGTGAGTGCGTCGTTGCGTCGTAGTAGGTGTCCTACAAGCCGCATGCAATCAAAGATCTGGCTCAACGGTGCCGCGTGTTAATTTTTATAGGTTCTGTGCTTGAGCACAGCACAGCCGACCAATGACAGCTCAACCTCCGCCTCCGTACTGACAGCAGCAGCAGCAGTAGCCGGCTGAATGAAAAGGTAATACTCTCTCTCTCTGTGTGTGTGTGCAGGTCATCACACGACACTGTCTAGCCAGCCATCCGTGGAGCGATGGCCTTCTGCCCCCCGACAGCAGGGCGCACTCTCTCCGCCGGCACGAGAAGCTTCTTTCCTTTCTTGCTCACTCGCTCACCCTCTCTCTGCAGCCGCTTGTCCTCTGATCTAAACGGCACTTTGTGTGGGCTACCAACTTTGTGTCACAGTTAAGCACGAATTTCAGACCCAGCTGCCACTTTTTGGCTGATAGGGGCTGTTTCTGAATGTGTCCTAGGTGCAAAAACTCGCATCAACCCCTGTGTTCGTTTCTTTTTCGCTGTCATTTTGTATAACCGCTTGAGAGGAGTACTATAACTGAGAAATATGTAAAATTATGCATATATGTATATATGCATAATACACAAGGGAGACTGGGATAGTCATTTCTGGCTCAGTAGCCGAAGCCGGCCATTCATCCCCAACCCCAAGTGGTGCCCTACCCGAAGTTCTAACCGGTGACCTTGTTAATTAGAAGTCCAGCGTTCTAACTCCCGCGCCACGGGCTCATTGTCTTGTCGGTTGAAACAAATATTATAACAGAGAAATACGAAATTTTATGTATATTCATATGTATATGCATATGCAGAATGCTATTACCAACAAAGGCGAAGGAGACTAAAATTGTCATCTCTAGCTTATTAGCTAAAATCAGTCAGTCAAACAAAACCCCAAGTGGTGCCCTACCCGAGGTTTGAACGGGCGACCTTGATAATTAGAAGTCAAACGCTCTAATCACTGCGCCACAGGCTTGTTGTCTTATCGGTTGAGTTCTGTAACCGATCGGTGAACGCGCATCTGCCACTTACATATATATAATATATATGCTGAAATGTGGTCATCCCAAGTAATATAAGTTGAGGTTGAATACGTTCTTCGGGAAATAGAAATTGATTTCGGAAATTTTTGAGAATGGAACCCAGACTCATCATCAGACGTAGAGAAAAGAAAAAGTGCCAAAACAGCTAGGATCTGTTCATCTCCTTGTCTACGCACGCGCGATCCTAGCTGTTTTGGCACTTTTACTTTTCTCTGCGTCTGATGATGAGATGGGGTTCCAGTCTCGAAAATTAACGAAATAAATGTCTAGTTCCGAAGAACATATTTAACCTCAGCATATATAATGTATATGGAGAAGAGTTTCTTTGAAACAATTACATTCACCAATAAAGGGCTTCAAAATGCTCATCACATAACATCGAAATATATGGTTCTCTAACTTTATATACATATAAAGGATGTGTTTACTTCAGCCTAGTCTCGGGTTTATTCTGCCTTTATCTAGTCAGCTGTGTCCACGAATTCCACCATGCGTACCCCATTCCAACGCGACACAATTGGTTGTTGTACAAGGAAATCCAACTGGTCCATAAGCCTCCATAGAAACCACTTCCACTTAAAAAAGAATTTGTTTTCACATGTGAGGTTCTGAGGATGTTAGCGGCCTGGACTACTGCCTGGGAATGATCATAACTTGCTCCGTGGAAGGAAGAATCGGTGATTCTGAATTACTTTTGCGAAGCAACACTTTAAACATTGTACAGGAAATTCAACACAGCGGCTTATCGCGGGATCAAAAAAGACTAGCGGTAAGATATAAGTGCAACTGTTGTTTTTTGCCTGCTTCAATGGGGTGGATTTATTTCAATCCGAGCCAATCCGGCCTAAGGGCATAAGTGACGTGTGCGGCCTTATCACTTACAAAAACACTCGGATGGCATTTGAGTTGGGCTCATATCGCGGAAGTTTTATTTGCTGACACGGCAGCACTGCTCGCTGGCGTAATTATAAACCCGAAGACAAGAAGCAGTCTAAACGAGAACGTGAACGGAGGAGGCCGCTAATTTACCGAAACACACACACCTACTGTTTAGTGAAGAGCAGTTGGCTCTACCCGGAATTAGTATTCTGGTTGGATGTAGGGTGAAATGGACCAATCACAGCGGCCAGCCTCGACGTGGAACGTTTCCCTGCTGCCCAAGGTCATCTTTGCGGAAGAACAATTGCACATGCTTCGGTTGTGTGGTTTTTATTTATCTATTTGAAACCCAAAAAGGTTTTTTTGCTAAGCAAATTACTGTCAAACATTCATTTGCGATTGGAATTTGTTTCAACTTTAATCTCACGTGGGCAATCACGTGGAAGTTTGGGACAAGTCACGCAAATGTACGTTGTATGCAGGAAATCCTCTTCGTTCACTTGAAACCCCTTGCCTGTCAATGTACACTATTTGACCCTTCTTCGAAATTGACCTCATTTATTAAGGGTAAAGGTAGGCAGGATGGAGCGACAATGTATGCACATACAATTGATGGAGCCAGCTGGATTTAAATGCCCAGGTTGATGGGAAAACAAGAGGCATTCTCAAATATATATATATATATATATATAAATATATATCCGACAATAATCCAAAACAGATTGGCATAAGTAAAAATAGGAACCCCACCTCTCTCCCATTTGCCTTGTGCTGATTTTCAGGGTGATAAGGGAGTCGGAGACGGGAGTATGCACCCACCTCCCCCTCTCCCCAGTACTACAGTGATCTTGCGAAAATTTTCCAGGGGTACATAATCCTGTACCTAAAACGGCTGAATATGGTCATAAAACATGGTCTGATTAGCGGTAATATTCATTTCCATGTCAGTCTTAGGCTAAGGATTGTTATTTATATGACTGGTGTAAGGATCAGCAGAGATGGGAGTTAGTTTGTGAGGGTTCCTGCTTAGTTTCGAGATAGGTGTATGACGTTAAGGGTTAGGATAAGCTTAACTGTTGTGGTAAGGTAGGGTGGGCATAACGTTGGGTTGACAGTTAAGGCTCTGAACCGGAAAAATTTACTCGGAACTTTTGCCAGATCTACTGAGTTGGGTGTTTCCATTCCAATTTGTTAACAATGTGCTTAAATCGCCCTCCCATACAGACACATAAGGGACTGCAGTGGCCGGGCACCTGTAGCAAACCTTCGCCTTTCGCGCTTACCATTGGCTGTCTCTTTCTGACCAATAACAGCTGTCCAGACGGACCAATCAACTACAAGGCCTACGCGGACATGTCCTCAGTCGGCATGTTGTGACAGCTCGTCTACTCAATCACACTCTAGCCGCCTGCGCTCGCGTCGTCGGACGTGCGCGATTGTCCGGCATGTAATCCTTTTCAAGCTTTTTTGGCAATATATTTATACAGAATACAATGCCTACTCAAGTGGCATACCAATTATCTTTCTATTAGGGACCCCGCCTATTAGCCTCTTGACTAAGGTCTCAATAAAATGTAAGCTGCTGATGCGACATGGCTTCAAGAAAAAGACTTAATTCGTTTGCAATTTGACCAATGAGGAAATTTCGGACGGAAGTTTACGTAAATTAAAGGACTCATGCTGTCCGAAACCTGCGTCGCCAGCCGGAGTTGAATCAACAAAATCCTGAGTCAATACCGTACTCTCCAGTACTGAAGTAAGAATGACTCGCATCGGGGCTGTGTGACTTATATAGATCCTCTTACTTCTGACTCACTAAGCCAGCTTATTGCATTTTGAGCTATTTTTGTAAGTCCAACTGTCCTTCCTTTTGCCGGTTTTGCCAAAAAATAGTTTTACCACAAAAACAGTCTATCTAGTAAATGGGACCAGATGTTTGCTTAACGAGAAAATGGTTTTTTGATTGCATGAGTTGTAGGTGGATTGCCACTTCCGGTCTGCGAACGATGGTGATCCTGCATTTACTTACCAGTCTAGCAAATTCCTCGGATATATCAGTTATATAAGATAATGCTCGCCAACATTTGGCTTCAGATTAACAGTGAAATCCTCAGGATGGCGATGAACACCTCTCGTATTCTGAGTTACCTTACTAACAATGCCCTCTCGCAAAAACGCAGCTGCGTGAGAAAATTATATTTCCGAGTGGAAATCCACCTCACCGAACCAGCCGAAAGAAGATAAGTTCTTGCGGAACCTCTTCACGATCAATGGATATTCTGTCATTTTCGATTAAAATTGCAGGCGAGAAACCAAAAGAAGAAATCCGAAGGGGCAGCCAAAACTAAAATGCTGGTTGGCCGTACCTTGTATGGTTGATATATCCGAAGAATTCACTCGACTGGTCAGCAGATTCAGGAATGTCGCCGTCGAAAGAGACAATCCGCGGCCAATCATGCAGCCTAAAGCCTCATTTTCCGTGAACCAAAATCCGGTGTCATTTACTGGATCGACTGTCTTTCTGGTCAAGCTAGTCAGGTTGGCGAGACCGAAAGGCGGGTTCTCACCAGACTGCACGAACACGAACTCGTCGTGCGAGGGAAGGGTAAGCCTCTCTTGGTAGCGGCCCACCCATACTCAGAGTACGGCTCTGAGTTCGAAAGCGTGCAAATATCTGGCCAATCGGATGACCGGATGTCACCACTAGGCCTGTAACTAGGATAAGAGCAAATATAAAAACCGGAAAGAAGCAGTGCGACAGCAGTTTAGGGAGATTTTAAGGAATAGGAACTTGTCCGAGAATATTAACGTTTTACTGGGTTCTAGACACCAGGACGTTTGTCCAAGCGCATCTGTGCATAGGATTCCAACCCAGCAAATTAACCTGAAACTCCTCTCATTTAGCTTTTACTAGCAAAATGAAGAGCTCAATCAGTTTCACCTTCCGTCACTTAGACTCAAAGAATGGGAGAAAAAAACTATTTTGGCTCTGATCCACTAAATTGAAAAAAAATGCGATGTATAATCAATCGCGCATTAGACTTAGTCTGCAGACTGCGCTATAAGGTGATCCAGTTCACGTGAACGTGGAACTGACGCGCTGACGCAATTACAGGACGAAGTAAAGCGTGTCCCAGAGGTTCACGTGGTATGACAATACTTTACACGTTAAGTTTGACCCCGGCAGGTCACGGGGCGTCCCGAGTAGTCTACGTACCCAGAGTCCCCAGAAGAATGTCGTCATACATCTTTCTGTGGTTGAGCGAATCTAAGGTGAATTGTAAATCAATAGATTGTATGAAAAGCAGGCATAAGACACCCCATTTGACACTGGCGTGCCCAATAATTTAGTTCGTGTGTTGCACAGAGTACGGTGTTCTGGTCAGCTTTATTACTACAGCTCTTCTGCTGCGGACATTTAGTCCTATAAAAGTGCTAAAAACAACGAAATACCTATCTATTGAGGCGAATGGTTGCATTCTTGGAACATTTTAAAGTAAATAAGGGGCAAGCCGTTCGCTTGCCCGAATCGGGTCTGTTTACCTCCAGGACAACAAGATTGCTTTCGTTCGTTCACCCTCAAAATCCCCTGTATTGTTCCAAGGTCGGCGGATTCAATTCGAAGAAATCATGGCATGTTTCGACAGAAGGTCATTAAATACATCAATCCAGATAAGGTTTGAGGATAAATTCTTGCAAACGAAACTCGAAAAACCTTCGATCTCGCTCAAAACTGAACAACTCTTGAGGCTGCTCGAATTTTTTTCAAAATACTAACGCCCCGTTTGCAGGAGGAACCAAGAACAGATCAAGAGCATTCGAATAGGCTTCCCAATCTCTGGTTTGGCGGCGTAATTGGTCCTAGAAGGATAGCCTTCACCTAAAAGCTATCGAATATTCGACAGGTTGACGTTAGCGTTGTTGTCGTCAAGGGAAACATGCTTCAGAGTTTCCATGAAAGCCTGCGCTTCATCTTCTTAGGTATACAATTCACGGGGTAGATGGTAGTGATTAGCAGCTGCTCCTCTTTGGTCTGCTCGCAAGACGAAGTTGCGAGGCCGAAATAGAAACAAGGGTCTACAAGCAGGCATTGAACGCAACGCAGATTTTCAGTTCTCACAACAACCACCTCATAAAGGAAACTGTGTGAGCACAGTGATGAAACGAAGCCAGGCTCATTGTAGCAACTCGAAAGAAAGCGTACTTGAGGCCCGACATCTCAACGACCAGTTTATGCATAGTGGCTATCCAAAGACAGGCTTCGATCGCGCATACAGTAAATAAAACTTGCTGTTAAACGAAGTGACTGCTTATAACAAGTATCTGCACACACCTACGACAAAGCTCGCGAGGTTAACTTCGCAGCCACAATGGTAATCGCCCAGACCAGAGGCAATACAAGGAGCAAATCAATTTAAGTCGCTAATGAGGACTCAATCGATCGCTATATCTATCTGATGCTCATAAACAGAGCCCTGCGCACTCACCTTCGGACTGGCGTTACTGATTTTTGATTCCCTCCGACCCCCTACAAATATTGCCCATTTTTTGTTGCCACTTTATCTCTGACAATAAACTTCACTAAAATTTGAAAGCCCATTTGACTAAAGACCTGTCTCCGGCGTGCAAACACCCTTCTTTTTCTTCTACTAAATTTCCTCTCTTACAATTT